AAGCAGGATAAGTAAAAAAGAAAAAGAAAGAAGTGGACTTCTCCACTATTTTTTAAAGATGAAGAAGGAACAGAGCTCACACCTTTAATCCTAGCACTAGAAAGAATATAAGGAACTCAGTGCAGTCTCAGAGGGCAGTCTAGGATTTTGAAGTTTGGTGGAGAGTAGTACAGTCTGGAGATATAGTCTAAGGACAGGATTTCCCTTTTGGTCTGAGCATTGGTAGAGGTGTGAACTCTCTAGTGGATAGCAGCTTTGCTTCTCTGATCTTCAGCTTGAACCCCAATATCTGTCTCTGGTTTTATTATTCATACTACATCTTCCCAAGTATCTGGGTAGTTAGAGAGAAATACTGGAGACTGAATGTTATGCCCAAGTCATGAAGATTCCCAAAGACCATCAGGAAGACAGACCTATCAAACAGCAAAAGCAAGGTTTATTGCTCCATCCAACCATGACAGGGACTTCGTCTAGTGCTGGAGTTTTTAAAGACCAAAACTGCAGGGTTACATCAGTGGGTGGTGAAAGGTAATGGTCAGTTTCTGGTTTGTTGACATTTGGGAACAATTAGGGGAATTTTTCAAAGTCATATTTTGGCAGTGTAACTCGTTTGTCAACATTTTTGATTGGTTGGCTACAGAAGGGAACATTGTGGTTTCTATGGTTTTGTCTGTTCCTTGTAGGTGGCCTGTTGTACACAGTAACCAGGAACTAAGTATCCTGGAGACTAGGTGGGGAGGGTTTGGTCTGTCCTGGAGTTTCTTTATGACATGTGCTGAGTCAGAGGCCTACATGTCTTTTCTGCAGCCTGTCATGGCTGCTAAAACAGGGGGCTGGGTGAGGATCTGGTCCCTTCACTGAACTGATAGAGGGAAATGTTTCTCAGAGTTGTGGCACTGTCTAAGAGCCTCGGGTTTCCCTCTGGGTGCTGAAGATGATGACCACAGGGAAATAATAAGTACTTTTCCTCTGGGTACCTGATGGAGAAGGGGATATGATAGAGAAATCCAGGAACTCAAGCTGTCAAGCATGAGGCCTCTCACATGCCTTAAATAATGGGATCACATGTCACACCCCACCTCACATAGACTTTTATTCAGTCAAGCTTGATTCCCAATTAAAACAGGATTAAAGATCAATGGGAGGGTCAAGGTGTTCTGAACACTGTAAAAGGCCACCACATCGAGCAGTGTTCAGGTCTTATCTGAACTGCATGTGTTTTAAGTTCCTTCTTCATCTGTCCAGCTGGGCAGGAATCCCAGCGATACATGTGGACTTCTACAAGAAACAAAGGCCTGAGATCAGCAAAGAGTCTGGTGTTTGTGACCATCTATAATTGGAGATGGTTATAGGTCCTGGAAAGGAGCTGGATCTAGGCCAGACCCTAGGCCAGGCTAGCTAACACTTGGCTCTAAACATTAGTACCTTTTCCTAGTTTTCAATGAACCCACCTCATCTGCTTAGTTCTTCTGCGTAATGGATACTAGCACCTCTCCTTCTTGCCTTAGTGTTCATTCAGACATGAGTTGGAGTCAGCTCCTGGGGTAGTTATCTTTCTTCAGCAATCCTTGAACTCCTCAATCCTTGATGTGGCTGCAGATTGAAACATAAGCTCCCTGGAAAAGACCTGCACAGTGAACTCTCATCTGAGGTTTCTCTCTCTCTCTCTCTCTCTCTCTCTCTCTCTCTCTCTC